TTTTCTTTTTGCTTATGTGGTGCTGGGGAATCGAACCCAGGGCCCCAGGCATGCAAGGCAAGCGCTCTACCACTGAGCCACCTTCCCAGCCCAGCACTCAGCTTTCTTGTCACCTGATCAGAGAAAGCTTTGCTAATCCATCATCAGATCTAAAGTGTTATCTCAGACGTGCATCACCTTCTAGCACCTCATTTTAACTTTTGTCGTAACCCTTATCACTATAGGACATCTTTTCCTGGTCATCTCCTAGTGTAGATTGTAAGCCCCAAGAAAACAGGCCCTGGGCTCTTTTGTTTACTGTGGCATCATCCCTAGCACCTGAAAAGTGTTTAGTGAATATCTGTGGAATAAATGAGTTCATGAAGTTACCCCAGCATGAGTTTTGATTTTGTCATTTGTTCGGTTTTGCTAACTTCTGAGAAGGGAAATGACTATCCCAATCAAATTCAGGTCTCTCATATTTTTTCCAGGACCTTCCTGTAAAGCCTGACTGACACACAAACCTGGTTGGGGTGAGGCCTTCAGGTGTGATGAAAGCTTGGAGTTGCCCCATGATGTAGGGTGAGGAGGCTGAAGGAAGAGCATGGGAAGAAAGAGGCAGGCTGAAACAGGAGAGCGAGCAGGGTGTGGAACAGCAGGTGGGGGGAAGGAGGGAGGGTGATTTGGCTATGTGTCAGGAAGTGTTTCCCTCCACCCTCCCCTGGAGAGAACCCTGACCCCCTGGTGGCTTTGATTTTGGGACATTGCTAAGGGAGGAAGAAGGTGTGGCTTGGGTGGTGACCATCCACTGAGGTCCCCAGCCTGCCCGATACTAACTACAGGAAGAGTAATCCTACAGTGGCTCTTGGCCAAATAGGTAACAGGTAAGCTTCCGACTAAAACCAGCCTACCTACAACATGGAACCTCAGACCTGGCTTAGGGGCAGTCAAAGTGTCTGGGGAAAGGACAGAAAAGAGATTCTAAGGGAATACAGTATTCATGGTTGAATGCTTGCTAATAACAACAAATGTATCACACTGATTGAGGGCAATCCTCAAAAAGCCTTCTACAAAGTAAGCATTATTATTACTGCTGTTATTTCTATTTGCAAGAGTTGGGGACTGAAACACAAAAATATTAAGTATTTTCTTCAACATCATGTAGTAAGTAGCAGAAACAAGATTCAAACCCAAGTCTATAGTAAGTGCACTGCACTCTAGAAACCTATGTCTAGGGAGAGTTGCCTGGGCAGGCTAAGACAGCAAAGCCAGACTGACCCCTGCAATGGCTGGGGCGGGGAGAGAGAGTGGGATAGACAGTGTATAAATAGCAGACCTGTTTTTATCCCTACACACGGCTGAATCAGGCAAGTACTCTATCTGGCACAATTTGAGGGTTCTGAATGCCAACCCAGCCTTGTATCAAACAACTCCGTGGCAGCACGTCCCTGGGAGCTGAAATACCCACTGAGAGTCATTTCTTAGGGTCAGGACACTGACTTCAGAGGATCCCTGTAAAAATGGAAGGGTTGGAAGGGAAGCACATCAATCTCCTGGCACCTGTTGACCAGAGCAGTCTAGGTTAGCCAGCTGGGTCCTGGTTGAGGGAGGGTTTATTGTTTTATTTATTATTTTTTTTAACTACGGTTGCAAGGAAAAATGTAAGGCTTCTTTGATAATCTGTCTCTCTGATCTCAGAAGTTTAAGGATTATAATCCATCATAAAAATTCTACCGTGGACTCTTGTCACTAGACGAAAGCTGGGAGAAGCTACTCTAAACTTCTTCTGCTGGGGCTAGATTGGCACCAGGTGTGTGCAACTTCAACTCTGCTCACCTGGGGCTCCTAAGAACCGTTTTATATTCTTGTGTTTCGTTTTTAAATGATTAATGAGCTAGCTGGTCTTACTGCATTGATAGGCAAAAGAAAGAAAGAAAAAGAAAAAAAGAAATGAAAAAAAATAAAGCGAGCTTCTGAAACTCTGGTGACACTCAGGGTGGAAAACCCCACTGGTACGGAGCTGGGATGGTCTAAAGAATCAGGCCCGAAACCCAGCTCTCTGATCAGCAGTCACAACGCTGCAGCTCTCTAGGCGTTTGGGGGAAAGGTAGGACCGGTCCCTGCCACCTGCCGATCGGTGGCCCTACCCACTGCCAGGCCTCCACTGCCCTGGCTTGTTCCCCAAAAATGTGAGCGCGGCCTGCTCCACACGCCGCTTTCCCATCGCGCTCGCCCGCCCGCGGGTCCGGGGCTACGTTGGTTGGCGGCGCCAAGGGCCGGGCTCGCTTCCCGGCCCGGGAGGGGGGCGGGGAGGGGAGAGAAGGGGGCGGCGCCCGGCGGGGCGGAGCTCCGGCGCCTCGCGGAGCCTTATTCCCCACGGCGCGACGAAGGAGTGCTTAGTCCGCCCGAGGAGCTGCACGCGGCACGCGGCTGATCGGCCTGACGGAGGTGTTAGGGCTCGGGCGCGGACCCCCGGGGAGCAGACCGACGCGCGGCGGCTGTGAGCTGAGCAAAGGTCCCAGCCAGGCTTGCACCCACAGAGGCAGGCGGCTCACAGTGCCCGGCGGAATCCTCTGCGCCCCCGCCTGCCTCCCGTGCGGGCTCTCAGTGCCCGCCGCTTCCAAACTGATTGCTGCCTTGCTGACTCTGCCCGGGTCTGGGAACATGAAGCTGCTGCCGTCGGTGGTGCCAAAGCTCTTCCTGGCTGCAAGTAAGATACCTGCTGACGCCCCCGAGGTCGGGGGTGGGGTGGGGGGAATGGGGGCGCTGTGCGGGGGGGGGCACAAGGAAAGATCGCTGCAGCGCCCCCGACGCGTGCCACTGCGTGCCACTTGGTGGGGCCCGTGCGCTCCGGCGGGGAGGGCGTAGACAGCCATGCACGGAGGCGCCGGGGTCTAGGTGGGGGTCTTATGCGGCCTTGCCCTTGGTTTTCAGTGTTCTCCGCGTTGGTGACTGGCGAGAGCCTGGAGCGGCTTCGGAGAGGGATGGCAGCTGGAACCAGCAATCCGGACCCTCCCACTGGCTCCACGGACCAGTTGCTACCCACTGGAGGTGCCCGAACCAGGGAGGTCGTGGACTTGGAAGAGTCAGCCCTTTTCAGAGGTGGGTGAGGGGGCTGCCCACTACTGGACTCTGGTGAACAGTTGAAGAATAATCAGATAATCAGATCTAAAATGCATCCTTTTGGGAGCTCCTGTGGATTATTTATGCAGGACTTGAAGCAAAAGCTGATGGCATTGCAGAAAGCTGGGCATCCTGAAGTGCAGGTCCCAGGTTCTACTGTCTTTTTTTTTTTTGGTCTTTGGGTTCCACTTGGTGAGTTATCACCTTCTGGATACTTTGGAGCAAACTGAAGCAGGCAAGTTGTCCTCTGAAGTAAGCTAAGCTAGGTAGTAGGAATATAGTTGAGATGCTTTTCTTAGAGTTCCTATGTGAAAATGGATACAAGTCCTGCTTTCCAAATCCAGTGATATGGAAAATATCTAAAGTGGAGATAACAGATGTGCCACTCATAAGCACAAAATCGGTTTGCAGTGATAGTCTTCTCCACCCACTTATCTTCAGATTGGGGAAATGGAAGGAATGAGGAACTGGTGGCCTACCTAGGTGAGACCAGCTCCTCTGGGGAGGCTTTAAAAGGTGAGCCTTGGGGCCTTAAGGGGCTGTTTTGAATATTCCTGACACCAGAAGACTTCCCAACCAATTGAATCCCCAAGGAGACTCCAAGGGGAAAGAACCACGTGGGTTCCTCCCACCTGCCTGTGTGGCTGAGGCTGAGAACAGATATTGATTGGGCATAGTCCAGATCCTGCTGGTTTCCCTGCCTCTGGCTACCTGCAGTGATTCTCTGGGGTGGAGCAGAGTCTAAGCCCTGTGACCCGGAATAACTATATTTGGTTGGGAAGATACTCACCTGTTCTAGCCCCGCCTGTCACTCAGCTGCCTTTCTCCCCCTTACCTGAGAGCTTCACTTGGTTGCTCCATGTGTTTGCTCCAAAGCTGAACCTGTATTCCCAGACTTCATCCTCTTATAGTGGCCCTTTGGGGTCACCCATAGCCTAAACAGCCTAGATTCTCCTGGCTCTCTCTTCCTAAGCTGGGCAGGGCTGGGCTAGGCTGTGACTCACTCTCCTTCCCCCACCCCCCCAGTCCCCCACCCACATGGCTGCTCCTCATACCTCTGTAGACCTGACTCACTCTGGGTAGAAGCCTAGCTGTCACTCTGCCATGCTCTCACTCTTTATGATTACTTGGACTTCCTGCCTGGGTCTCTGTGTTCCTCACTTGGCCACCTGCCTCACCTGGGATGGATTACATTTTTAATCCTTCATGGCTGTGGGCAAGTCAGTGCCCTTCAGGATTCTAAGTTCTTGAAAATGTAAGGCCATAATCTTTGGGGGAGCCACTTCTAGCTTGAGAACTTTTCGGTCTCCAGTCTAATGTTTCATTCTCACCTTTCTGCCAAACATAGGCTATAGCCATAGACACTGGACGCCTTTCTATTATTGGGTGCAGGTGTGGGAAAGAAGCTGGTGTCAGACCCTGGAACTAGTGAGCGTAGCCTTTGTCAGTCCCAGCTGAATGTCTGGGTAAGATTGTTTTCCCCCAGCCTCTGAATTCTGGGAAGAAGTGGGGAGTCACTTTTTAACCTCCTTATCCCTTATACACATGTATTCCCCCCCAAAAAAAGATCAGAGAACTATAAACATAATATTTGAGGATAGATGTAAATGGAGAGAAGGGTAAATATTTTGCTTGAAATGGGAAAAAGACAGCCTTTACCAGGGATAAGCTGCTTGCTATTTCTGAGCTGGGCCTTGATACTAATGGGAATCCCAGAGGGGGGTCACCTGAACACACAGACGCTCTTCTTATTTTAGAAGCCTCCTACCCCAAAACATCCAACTATCTTCTCCAAAAGCAATTTTTGTCTGTGACACTATCTTCCTGCAAGTGGGTCACTGAGTGAAGTAACAGGAAATGAAGACTAAAATAGAATGAAGTAGATGCGGGGGGAGTTGGAGATGGAGGTGGGAGGTGGACAATGGTGTGGGAATGAGTTTGGTAGCCTTGCTTGCTACTATTGGCTGCTATTACTCAGGAGCGATAGCATTTCCTGAATGAGGTTCTTAAGTTGGGACCTATCCTAGCCTCTACCTCCTCCTGAAATGCCATTTTTTCTAGTGGTTCTACACAGTGTCCCTCTAGCACGTGGGAGGTACCAAACCAGAGAGTCTTCCCAAACCTCTGATGCTAGGTAGGATCAAAGCATACACAGGTGTGGATGGGCCCATGACTGTAATCCCAGCACTCAGAAGGCTGAGGCCTAAGGAGCACAAGTTTAAGGCTAGCCTTCAAACAGACTTTTTCTCAAAAAAGTGTCATAGAATCAAAGTCTTACCAGCGTACCTTTCTCCTGCAGTTGCTTTATCTTCCAAGCCACAAGCTCTAGCCACGCCAAGCAAAGAAGAGACGGGGAAAAGAAAGAAGAAGGGCAAAGGATTAGGGAAGAAGAGAGACCCATGTCTTCGGAAGTATAAGGACTTCTGCATCCATGGAGAATGCAAATATCTGAAGGAGCTCCGGGCTCCATCATGCATGTAAGTGTCCTTTCCCCAGATGGAATCTCAGCATACTCTCCGCCATGTGGCTGTTTCTCCTTGTTACTGTTTCTTGAAGTCACAATTTCACCCACGCTTTTTTTTTAACCTTTGGGTGGAAGTTCAGAAGAGGGAAAATATTTTTAGTCCACAGAAGCCCCTTCCCCCACTACCAAAGAGAATGCAGTTTCCTGTGGTATGGGTTTGTGACACTCTTCAATCCTTAGAGACATTTCCTGCTTGTCCAGAAATGAGCATGTGGCTAGGAGAGCTAACTCCTGGAGGCAGCTGGTCCTTCATTCCTGCCTTGTGCATTTTTCTGTGTGGGAGGTGGTAGAAAATATGGCAGCACAGGTTCCTGGGTACAGTGGAGCTTCTGTAAGCAGAAATGAGGTGCATTCGATCGCATGCTGTGCAGGTATTGTATACTAGGAGGATGTGTGCTTATGAATGAACAAATGTAGGTTAGTTCTAAAGCATGGTAGGGCTGTATAGAGAAGAATATATACAAGGAATGTATAGAGAGGAATCATTGTGGGGCAAAGGGAACCCCCCTCCCCCAGTCCTGCTTCCTCACTGCACCATGGGCCAGGAGAGTATTGGCCTTTGGTCAGGGGGTACTAGAACACATTCTTTGTGCAAGATTAAAAGGAAATAGAACCCAACCCAGCAGGCAACATCAGTCCTTCCCTGGCAGGAGTGTGGGTGGAGGGGCTGTGGGTTGCTTAGCTTCTCCTAGCCAAACCCAGCATTCGGCTGCCTTGGCAACCCCTCAGGGATGACAGCACTGCCATGCTCTCTGGCAGGCATAATGTCACCACTGTGCCTGAGGCCAACACCCCACGTCAGGCTGCAAACATCCATCTTCTTTCCTGTGGGGACTCAGCAGACTCTGGGGACCTTGTGACCTGGAGATTCTGGGTGCGCTAACTCACTATTGTGTGCATGCTGTCTCCCATCTTATCAAGAAGTCTCACTGTGTAGTGTCTCTTTTACCTCTGACTGGTGCAGATCCTTGGCTTTTTTTTTTCCTTTTTTTTTTTCTTTGTCAGTTGTGGGGCTTAAACTCAGGCGTGAGCACTGTTCCTTAGCTCTTTTGTTCAAGTGCTCTACCATTTTGAGCCACAGTGCAGCTTCTAGTTATCTGGTGGTTACTTGGAGGTAAGAGTCTCATGGACTTTTGTGCCCAGATTGGCTTCGAGCCACGATCCTCAGCCTCCTGAGTAGCTGGGATTATAGGCATGAGCTAGCAGTACCCAGTGAACCCTTGACTTTTCTTTGTCCAGAGCCTGGTGCCTGTGGCTCACGCTCAGAATCCTAGCTCCTCAAGAGCCTAAGATCTGCAGTATCACAGTTCAAAGCCAGTCCAGGGAAAAATAGTCCAAGAGACTACATCTCCAATTAGTCATCCAAAAGCTGGGTTAGAAGTGTGGCTTAAGTGGTAGAGAGCCCGCTGTAAGCAAGTAAACTAAGGGAGGACTCTTAAGTTCAAGCCCCGGTACTGGCACAAAAGCAAAACAAGAAAACATCTTGACTTGTGAGTACATACTATTTGGCAATCAGCAGAGAAACCCATCTACAATCATTGTGTCCTTTCTTGCAAACATCCTTGTTAGGAGCTTGGCATGGGAAAAGATTGTTTAAGAGTGGTGTAGAGCCATGCCCTGGTGGCTCGTTCCTGTAATCCTAGCTACTCAGGAGGCTGAGATCCGAGGATCATGGTTCAAAGCCAGCTCGGGCAGGAATGTCCGTAAGACTCTTATCCCTAACCATCTGGAAACCAGAAGTGACACTGAAGCTCAAGTGGTAGAGCACTGACCTTATCCTGAAGAGCTCAAGGACAGTGCCCAGACCCAGAGTTCAAGTCCCAGGACCAACAACAACAACAAAAAGTGGTGAAGAAAGTCTTCTTAGGGCTGGTAGAGTGCTTGCTTTGCATGCATGAGGCCCTGGGTTCGATTCCTCAGCACCACATAAGCAGAAAAGGCCAGAAGTGGTGCTATGGCTCAAGTGGTAGAGCGCTAGCCTTGAGCTGAAGAGTTGAGGGACAGTGCCCAGGCCCAGAGTTCAGGCCCCATGACTGACAGAAAAGAAAAGAAAAAGTCTTCGTAGTATCCTTCCCAATGTCTGGAACAGAAAGAAAATGTTTTGTCTTACGTTTGTAAAATGGCATCATTAGCTCAGGATGGAGAAAGTGACTCTTAAGGCAGTCAAGATGGACTGAGACCAGGAATCTTTCTGGGCTATATTGGCCCAGGGCATTTTGATGCGTAGATGTGGGACTAAGAACCCTTATAAGGCTACTGTCCTGAAGAGTTAAATCTCAACTGACCACCTGAACCCAGAGATCCTGATAAGTGTGCCCAAAGCCATCTTCTCAGTGGCCCTAGGATAATAGTGGTAGTCATAATGTTAACATCTCCCCCTCCATCCCAGAGCTTAGTGTTTACATTTAATATAAATGAAACCCAGTGAGTGTATTAAGTACCTACTTGTTGCCAGTTGGTCTTCTAAGAGATGGGGAGAAGATATGGTCCTTGTGGTTTCCAAAAGCCCTTTACTGGGTAGACAAGATTTTCTATTTCTACTTGAAAAATGAGGAAACTACAGCCAACAAGTTGCATGAGATCAGCAGCTAAATAAGTAGATAGAAATAGAACCAGGGTCTCAGGTGCCTCACTCCTAGGTCAGCATGCTTTCCATGTCTCCAGGCCCCACTGTTGGCTTTCATCTTTCTTCCCAGTCCTGACCATGAGTTTGAGCAAGATTTTATAGAGGACAGCTGTTGTTCTAGAGCACTCTTAGGCTTAAAGCGTAGCGATCTGACTTGAAGATCCATGCCAGCTTGCTGGACAGATTTTCATGGGGTAGATTCTGTGTCTGGTCTGGCTGCTTCATATGTCCAGGTACTCAGGGAAAAAACAAAGAGCTTTTGGGTTGGGGCAGTATGACATCTGTGCATTTATCTCTGGGGAGTCTTTGTGGTTCCTCCTTGTTTCCAGATCCAGGAACCACCAGCCAGGGTGTGTCCAGGCTGCTGTGGTAAACTTGGGGCTATCTGGCTTCCTAAACCAACCCTCTGCAGCCACCATAAATAGGAAAAACCTTCTGTGTCATCAGCCAAGTTACCCTCAAACAGTTTCCTGGGGCTTTGTCCTGGCCACTGACCCAGAAATTGGCTGCGAAGTTTCCTGTGGCTGAAGGAAATCTGGGAGCATATGTGTTAGGGAGGACTTAAAGTTGGAAGAGAGACAGGCGTGGAGCCTGTATTTGGTCACACTGCCCAGATGCCCAGAGGATTGGTGAGCCCTTTCAGTTGACTCTAGCTGGCTTGGGTTCCCTATTTGAGATAGCAGCTGTACCCTCTGCAGGTCCAATTATATAATAAATCACACCTATGTAGGACCTTCCTTCCATTAAGTGCTTTCATCCATATTATCCACTTAGATCTATTGACAATGCTCCACTGATATAGTCACTTATATTGTATTAGGACACCAGTCTTAGAAAGGTAATGTGACTTGCAAAAAAAATCAGCTGGCTAGAAATAGCAGCAGAAAGCTGAGCACTGGTGGCTCATACTTTGTAATCCTAGCTGCTCCCGAGGCTGAGATCTTGAGGATCCAGGTTCAAAGCCAGCCTGGGCAGGAAAGGCTATAAGACTCTTATCTCCAATTAACCACCAGAAAACCGGAAGTGGCACTATGGCTCGAAGTGGTATGATAAGCAGAAAAGCTCAGGGGGTGTCCCATGGCTGACCACCCCCCCAAAAAAGTAGTGGAACCAATCTGATGATACGCCGCTATTCCTGGTGTCCTCCATCAAATGATGCCCCTCCATCTGCTAGAGAGTTTTGTTGTTTTTGTACCAGTCCTGGGCCTTGAACTCAGGGCCTGATCACTATTTCTGAACTTTTTTTTGCCAGTTGAGCCACTGCTCCACTTCCACCTTTTTGGTAGCTAATTGTGGGTAAGTCTCACAGACTTTCCTGCCTGGGCTGGCCTTGAACCTCAATCCTGAGATCTCAGCCTCCTGAGTAGCTGGGATTACAGGCACATGCCACCTGTACCTGGGTTCTTGCTTCTGTTATACATATTCTGAAATGGGTCACAGACATGGAGCGGAGGAATTTGTCCTAGTTTGATGGACATGGGTGCTGGCTCTGGACAAGACACATGATCTCACCCCCACCCGGGGATGCTTGGAATGTACTAGGTCCCCCCTCCCCCTTTCTTCCCTAGGGGAAGCCAAGAGATGGCTGCTAAGGGAGGGAGAAGTGGGTAATATTAGGATGTTTACATTATTATCCTTTTGACTCAGGCTGGAGGTGGAGGGATTATGTAACTGAATTGCCGGACTCTGAGGCCAAGCTTTATTTCTATCATCTGAGTAACTACCTGTGGGGTTTGAATGATAGACTAGAAGCACAAAACAGACTTAACTTCAGTTCTCCTCTTCTGGGCCAGGACAGTCTCTGAAGTCATCCAGGCTGCTGTATTGAATCTTGCTTCTAGCACTCACTAACTTTGTAATTTTGGCAACTTATTTAATGAAAGTTAAGCCTCAGTTTCTTCATCTTCAAAATGAGAATAGTAGCTGGATGCTGGTGGCTCATGCCTATAATCCTAGTGACTCAGGAGGCTGAGATCTGAGGATCACAGTTTTGAAACCAGCCCAGGCCGTGAGACTCTCGTCTTCACTGAAACACCAAAAAATAAAGCCAGAAATGCATCTGTGGCTCAAGTGGTAGAATACTAGCCTTGAACAAAAGAAGTTCAGGGACAGCAGCCAGTCCTTGTGTTCAAGCTCCAAAACTAGCACACACAAAAATTGGGGATAGTAACTCCTTCATAGACATGGTTTTAACTTGAAAGGTCCCAGGTTCAATCCCTAGCACCAATCAAATAAATAAGATTAAGTGAAGTATCTTTGTAAAGCAGCTCAGAGTACTTGGCTCATAGTAACCTTTGATGTTTGCTACTTATTAGTGCCAATTATTAAGGCTATGAATAAATAGAAATAACAATACAGTCAGAGTGCAGGGCTAGATAGACCCAAGAGCCTGTCAGATGTGTTACCTTACATATGTGAACCTTTACTGTTCCAAATGGGAAGAATCCAAAATCAAAGTGGCTTCTGTTTAATCTTGCTGCTTTCTAGTTAAACCTAAGTTCTCTAACTCCTGATCACTGTGCACAGGTGATTTTCCAGGATATTCCTGGCAGCTTCCTCCATGCCTTGATAGGTTTGGGGTGACATTTTATCCCCCCATCCCAGGTGATGCATCACATGCATAGAAAAAGCTGGGCAAAAAAACTATGTGTTCTGGGCATGACCTACCTTTATCCTGCAGTGAGCTGGGTCTTGGGGAGGGAGAGGTACAAGGCAGTACTATGGTAAGGACAGAGATGCAGCACTACTCAGCCTGACTTCTCTGCCACTGCTGAGTGGCTCCTTGGACAAGTGGCTCCTTGAGCATCCCTGCTGCCCTGTCAAGAGAAGAATTGTCCCTGAGGCATCAGGTGCACAATTTCCTTCTCAAAGAAAGTGCAGTTAGAGGACCACACAGTTCTCAGTGCCTTCGTCAGCAGCTAGTGGCTTCATGTCCCCAAGCTGACAGGCTGTCCCTGCCCCTGGCTGGTAGGTTGGCAGCCTGCTGAGCCCAGAGTCAGACAATCCCCATCAGTGCTTCTGCACTGCTGTGTGACCTTGAGAAGCCACTTCACCTTTTTGTAGAATAGGGCTCCCATAAACATCAAAGGATCTCTGGAGTCCAGAGAAAGGAAGGGATATGAATGTGTTTCTTCAGCAGTTTTTCTAAAAGCTTCAAGGAAATGCTTTGTTAGAAGAAGCAGTTGCCACTTAAGAAGAGCCAAGGGATTGTTTGTGACATTCTTTTACTGTGGCAGGGCAGCTGGGCAGGAAGATGCTATCTTGGTTTTGTTTGCTTTGTCCTGTGATGAAGGAGGCCTGAAAGCTCCACATTCAGAGGCAAAGGCTTTAGTGAGGCTCCCAGGTTGGGCCCTGTACTCAGAGGGAGCTGCGAGTTAAATGAAAGAAACTTGAGAAAAATGACTCCTGGCAAGGGAACAGGGCCTATTAATAGGCTAAGCAGCAGTAGGGAGGGACTGGCCGCTGGAAGCATTGATGGGCAAGGCTTGATTTATTTCTGGGTTAGAATGTTGAGGGGCCTCACTGGAGGGAGTGATACTGAATCCCCTCAACTCAACCCACCGCCCTGGGGCCCCAGCACTCTTAAGTGGCTTAAACAGATTGTCTTAACACACATGTAATAAATCAGCCACACATGGAATAGATCTAAACTGAGACCTTCAAGTCATCCTCATTTTTTTCCCTGCCTGGAGCAGGACTCTGGGACCAGAGAACCAGAGGAAGTAGTAAGGGGGAGGACAACAAAGGAAGGATGAATGCGAGGGAGCATTCAGAGGGCCATTTTCAGAATGCTCTTAAAGGAGAAAGCTAGAGGAAAGGTAGAAATCATGAGCAGAGATTGAAAGGCTGAGGGTATAGAAAATGGAGTTTGGCTTAAATAGGTAGAACAGTGCAGAGAGAGACACAGACAAAGATGCCAAGTCATTTACCCCCCTCTCCTTTTTGTTTTGGTCTTATAATAGCTGCCATCCAGGTTACCATGGAGAGAGGTGTCATGGACTGAGCCTCCCAGTGGAGAATCGCTTGTATTCATATGACCACACCACTATCCTGGCCGTGGTGGCTGTGGTGCTGTCATCTGTCTGTCTGCTTGTCATCGTGGGACTTCTTATGTTTAGGTGAGTTTTGGGGAACCCACCATAGTCTGGTACTGCCAATCTCTCCCCTTCTACTTCATCTTGGGATTCCCCAGCTGTTGAACACATGAACCCTATTCTCATGCCTCTAAATCCTGAGCTAGATACCGGGTGCAGATTCTCTAAAAATCTACTTTGTCGGGCATGGCATGAGGCCAGCTAGTGTTTTAGAGCCCAGGACATACATAACAGGTTCTGTTTCCTCACAAGGGTTTGTTTCCTGTTTCTGGGGCCCAGGGACTCACCGTTTCACACATTTCTTTCTCTTGGCTCTGTTCTTCAATGCATTCGTGTGTTATTTGGTAGTGAAGATCTGAATGATACTTTTGATATATATACTTCCAATTCTGAGATATCTGAATCAGGCTAAACGTCCAGTCTGGGTATATTGTAGGTTGGGGGAGACCTGAAATATGTGTTTTCAAGTGGTACAACTCATCCATTGTGAGACCTAGAGCAAGGAACCTGTTGTTTTTTTTCCTGAGAACAGTAATCTTTCAGTTTTTATACTATTCACCTACCTCATGAGGATATTGTAAGGATCAAATAAATGTAGGTAAAATGTAACCTGCTGGTAGATACAGGCATCCCTCAGTTGGCCTTTGTCCAGAGATCTATGGGACTGCCATACTCTCTGGAGTTTTCCAAGTAATGGAAAGAACCAGCAAGGCAGAGTTCTTAGGAAGGACCTGCTCTGAGACTTGCACATTCTCGTTCTTACAGTAGGCAGCTCTTGCTTACAAACCTTACTTTTCTTAGGTACCACAGGAGAGGAGGTTATGATGTGGAAAATGAAGAGAAAGTGAAGTTGGGCATGACTAATTCCCATTGAAAGAGACCGATGCTCAAGGTAATAGCACATCCTTTGCCCCTAGCAGCATCAAGGGCCAGGGTATGGGTAGTCTCCTGGTCTATTTCAGTGAGTACTGAATTTTTCTCTTGACTAAGGGCTGGGGTATAGGCTAGGGGATTGGGAAGAGAGGTTACACAATTAGTTTTAAAAAGAACATTGGTGAATTATCATCAAGGTGTATGTTGTTAGATACCTAACTCCCCACCCTCTCACCCCTACCCCCCGTAAAAAAATCCAAATACTTAGGAGGTCAGCTTCTCCTTTACTTCAGCCCCTTTCACTCCCTGACTCCCCCTTTTGTGGTACAGGTGTTAGAACTCAGGGCCTAGCACCTGCTAGGAAAGCACTCTTATCACTTGAGCCGTGCCTCAGCCCTTTTTGCTTTTTCAGGTAGGGTCTGAAGCTTTTGTTTGTGGCTGTTTCAGGCAGAGATTTTCCCATTTGTGAATCCTGTGTAGCTAGAATTACAGGCATGAGACATAGTATTTGACTGCTCTTTTCATTTTGTTTTCTTTTGGGGGAGCAGACTGAGGTTTAAACTCAGGGCCCAGTCTACCACTTGACCATACTCCCAACCTACTCTTTCCATTTCTTAAAACTGGACCATGGAGACTTTCTGAGACTTCTTTAGACTGTACCCAGCTTCTCCCTTTCCCCACAGTATTGGAGATTGAACCCAGGGCTTCATGCATGCTAGGCTAGTGCTTTAATACTCAAGCCACACCCTTAACCCTTGACCTAACTTTAAATGTCTTTCTCTTGTGCTGTAGGAATCTGCAGGAATGGCCTCCTCTCAGAAGACACTAGTTGATTGCAGGTCTGCAGAGGGAAAAACTTCCCAACTAGTCACAAGACTTTATCAACCCTAGCTTTGGTATCTCATTTGGGACTCCTATAATTGCTTTGCGAAAATACCAGAGCCTACAAGTGCCAAACTATATGTTCAGTGGGATGGAGATCAGAAGAAAACAAAAATCAGGACCTTCAGGCCCTTCTGATTCCCCGCCACCAAACCCACTTCTCCCATCAGTTTATTTAAACACTTGTCTTCTGGACTAAAATACCAGCTAAATTCCATATGCTCCAGGATCTTTCAAGAGAAAAAGAAAAACAGAAGAGGAAGAAAGACTGTGGCCTATGGAAGAAAGCAACAAAGTTGAGAAGCCATGTACTCAAGTAGTCACCAAGGGATCTACTATTCGGACCCTCCAGTGCTGGACGAGCTAACTGTGAAATACCACAAACCTGAGAACTCGAGATTTTGGGATTTCTACCCAGAGGGGAGAGAAAAAAAAAAAACAACTATTTTTTGTTGTTGTTTGTTTGTTTGTAAAATGCCTTTTAAATTATATATTTATTTTATTCTATGTATGTTAATTTATTTAGTTTTTAACAATCTAACAATAATATTTCAAGTGCCTAGACTGTTACTTTCGCAATGTCATGGCCCTCCTTGCATCCCCACCATCTGGCTCAGTGCAACCACTGTCACAAATCTGAGATGGCTCTGTGACCTATATGTGGCAGTTCATTGTTTGTCTACATTTCTAAAGATACCCCAGGAGCAGAGTGCCCCCAGGGAACTGCGGATGGTCAGGATGCAGGAGTTGACTTGGTCAGACCCACTCTATGAGTTGGATTGCAGTCTTGCCTAGGCGATTTTGTCTACTGTTTGTGTTTTGAAAGCCCAAGGTGCTGATGTCAATGTGTAACTGATATCGGTGTTTCCCTGTGTCCTCTACCCACCAAATCTCAGAAGAGATTGGTTGTCCATACCTATGGCTGTCCTAGCCTCTTACCCCCACAAACCCAGGCCCACAGAGTGGAAACCCGCTCTCCCTTGTGTCAAGACATTTCTCTTACTCCTGCCATTCTTCTGGTGCTACTCCATGCAGGGCTCAATGCAGCAGAGGACAGTCTGGAGAAGGTGTTAGCAAGGAAAAAGACATAGGAGGAACAGGAAACGTTAGCATCGACTTGTTCTTGAAAAATTGATTAACTTGTTATTCGCTATAGAAGAGCTGTTTGGAGTTGGTGAAAGTTTTGGGTAGCATCACCCATCTTACTAAAACTACAAACATTTGCTGTATGGTCCCTTCTGGAAGTTTCTGGTGCCATATCTGAACTGTTACAACCTGTATTTCCAAACCCGGTTCATATTTATATTTTGCAATCCAAATAAAGATAACCCTTATACCACAGTCTGCTTGTTTTAACTGGGCACTTGTTACTATTGTTTTTGGTGATTACTGGGGTTTGAACTCAAGGCATCACTTGCTAGGGAGCTATTCTACTACTCGATGTCCCCAACCTTTTTGCTTTAGTTATTTTTCAGTTAGAGTCCTATGTTTTACTTTCTCAGGGCTGGCCTGAATCTTGATTCTCCTACTTATACCTCCCAGGTAGCTGACATGACAGATACATTCCACTATGCTCAGCTTTTTATTGGTTGAGATGGATTCTCATTAGCTTTTTTGTTTGGGCAGTCTTGAATCCCAGTCCTGTAGGTTTCTACCTCCCAAGTAAAAAGATTTTTCTAAAATTAAGGGCACTTTTTTGCACTCCACACAGTGCTATTAAGGACCAATGCCTGACTTTAGTAATCAGTTAAGATGTCGAAAATAACTGGTGTATTAAGTTTCTTTGAACTCTGTGGGTTCCCTTTCCTGCTTCCAAGTTTCTAGTCTCAAGCCCATAGGCTGGACTGGGCTTTTCTGAGCATACTTTGTTTCTCCAGCTGAGGTTTCCTGCAGGTTCAGGGTTTCCTGTCTTTCAGCTGCTCTCTCCTGCTGCCTCTGTTACTAATGGAGTTCCTCTCAGAAGTCCTCTAGGCTGCTGTACTATTTCAATAATGAGGATTGAACTCAGATCCCTTTGTACGCTAGGCAGGTGTTCTGCCAATTGAGCTATGCCTCCAAGTCCTTAGGCTTTTGCTAGGTTGATACAGTGGCTCTGAGAACTTCTGAATCTTTATCTATTACTTTTTTCTCATTTTTTCTTTTTTTATTTCTTTTTTTTTTTTTTTGCAAATCCTAGGGCTTGAACTCAGGGCCTGGGCACTATCCCTGAGCTTCTTTTGATCAAGACTAGCACATCTGAGCCATAGCACCACTTCTGGCTCTTTCTGTTTATGTGATACTGGGGAATCAAATCCAGGGCTTCATGCATGCTAGGCAAGTACTCTACCACTAAGCCACATTCTCAGCCCTATCCACTTCTTTAAAAAATTTTAAAAATAAAGTAGTACAAAGGGACTTAAGTTTAACATGTCAGTTTATGAGTACAATGAATCGATTGCTTTTGTACCCACTGTTTTTCTTTTTTGGTTCAAGTCCAATACTCAAACTTAGTACCTAACACTTTCCCTCATTGACTGGTGTTCTATCAACTGAGACATGCCTTCAACCCCTGCATCCACTTAAGATTGCTCATCAGAAGTTGGCCCTCTGAGCACTGAGAAACATCTACCTTTTCTTTTTCTTTTTCTATTTCTTTTTGTCATTTGTAGGGCTTGAACTCTGGGCTTGGGTGCTGTCCCTGTGCTCTTCAGCTCAAGGCGAGCACTCCACCGCCTGAGCCACAGTGCCACTTCTGGTTTTCTAGTGGTTTACACGAAGTTTCCTGCCCAGGCTGGCTTTGAACCGCGATCCTCAGATCTCAGCCTCCTGAGTAGCTAGGTTTACAGGAGTGAGCCACCAGTGCCCGGCCATCTACCTTTTCTTGACAGGCCCCCTTTTAGCTTTCTATAAGATATTTTAATTTTTTGTACTTAATATAATCATCAATAGGTTTATAAACATTTAGTACTCACTGAATGCTTACTACATATGAACACTGGCTACATGCTTTATAGGAACTATCTCTCAATTTACAACAATCTGGAGGGTAGATGCTTGTTATTAAAAGAAAAAAGACAAGATGTGTCTTGGGAAAACCTGACTCCCACGCCTGCACTCTAACCACTAAGTTACACTCTTAAGTTCTACAGCCTGGACTGGTTTTTCTCTTCTTCCAGAGATAATACAATGAAGAAATCATATGTAAAAAGAGAACAACTCCTTATCAGAGTTCCTTCCGCCTCCAGTTCACAAATTCATGAAAGGTGGTCCAATGTGCCTTATTAGGGTATAGTAGAAGAGAAAAAGACAAGCTGACTAAAATTTTGGTCTAAGTCCATGCTTCACTGTTTGTTAGGGCAGTGCCTTCATGTATGATACTTAGTCTCTGAACCTGTCTGTAAAATAGAGATACTTATTTGAGCTAGCGGCTGGGAATGTGGCTTAGTGGTAGAATGTTTGCCTAACATGCATAAAGCCCTAAGTTCAATTCTTCAGTTCCATATAAGCAGAGAAGGCCAGAAGTGGCACTGTGGCTCAAGTGCTAGCCTTGATCAAAAGCTTATGGATGGTGCCCAGACCCTGAGTTCAAGCCCCAGGACTGACAAAAAAAAAAAAAAAAAAAAGGACTGGAACTAGGGAGTAGCTCAAATGGCAGAATGCCTGCCTTGCCAGTACTGAGCCCCTGAGTTCAAACCCCAGTACTACCAAAAGATTGAGGGTATGGATGGGTTTGGGAAAGATGAGAGAAAATATTGAAAGGGGTTATATTGATCAAGATGCATTGTACTCATAATCTGACTTGTTGTATTGAAACCTCTTTGTACAACTACTTAAACAAAAAATCCAGCATCTCTGGATCATGCCTAAAATCCTAACTACTGAGGAGGCTGAGATCTGAGGATGTAGTTCAAAGCCAACCTCCAGGCAAGAAGGGCTCCTCTCTCCAATTAACCACCAAAAAAAACGAAACCAAAACAAAACCAAACCCAGAAGTGAATGTCTCACTCAAGTGATAGTCTTGAGTAAAAAAAACTCAGGAATAGCACCCAAGCATCCAAGCCCTAAGTTCAAGCCTCAGGACTAGCACCAAAAAAAAGAAAAGAAAGAAAGAAAAAAGAAAAAAGATATCGATTTATCCTGAAGGTAAGCTACACTTCTGCATAACATGCAGAAGGCCCTGAATTTGATGTGTACTGCAATAAATTACATATACATATATATTTCTATATCTATCTTAGTTGCAAAGTATTTGACAATAATACAGTGAAATCTGTTGATCTGTTGAAATCATTAGAGAAGGAATAGAGGGATAAGGGAGAGGCATAGGGGGTAAGTTTGATATAGATATGTATATTTGTACAGAAGTTCACAGTGATACCCCCTTGTGCAACTATTATAAGCTAGTAATCTTTTTCAATTTTTTGTTGTTATTATAAAGGTGATTTACAGAGGAATTACAGTTATATAAGTCAGGTAATTAATACATTTCTTTTTTGGGGGGGTGTCCGGTTGTGGGGCCTGAACTCTGGGCCTGGGTGCTGTCCCTCAGCTCTTCAGCTCAAGGCTAGCGCTCTACCACTTGAGCCACAGCGCCACTTGCAGCTTTTTTTTTCTTTTTGCTTATGTGGTGCTAAGGAATTGAACCCAGGGCCTCATGCATGCAAGGCAAGCGCTCTACCACTGAGCCATCTTCCTAGCCCCATGAATACATTTCTTTTTGGACAATGTCACCCCTTCCCTCACTCTCTCCCAGTTATGCTAATAACTATCATTTAAAAAAAAGAAAAAAAAAACAAATTGCTTATCTGAGTGCTGAAGTTCAGTTTTCATAACTGCAGGAGTCAATAAGCAAATGTTTCCTTTTTATATCTGAAAGAAATAGCAAAAACAATATACAAGGTACATTTTATGTTCTACAAGATAGTGATCTCTTTACCTTTATTTCTTTTTTTCTTTTTTTTTTTTTTTGGGTCTGGTCGTGGGGCCTGAACTCTGGGACTGGGCGCTGTCCCTCAGCTCTTCAGCTCAAGGCAAGTGCTCTACCACTTGAGCCACAGCGCCACTTCCGGCTTTTTTCTTTTTGCTTATGTGGTGCTGAGGAATCAAACCCAGTGCCTCATGCATGCAAGGCAAGCACTCTACCACTGAGCCACCTTCCCAGCCCTCTTTTTCATTTTTGAGACAAGATCTCATTTTGTAGCTCAGGCTGGCCTGGAACTCATGATGCTCCTCTCTGAGACTCTGAAATGCTGGTAATACAGGTATGTGCCATCACACCTGGCTCATCTATTAATAATACTAGAAGCCAGCTTGGTTACATAGTGAATCCACTAAAAATAAAAGAAAGAAAGAAAGAAAGAAAGAAAGATTTCTATTACACTTTTTTTTTTTGTCAGCTCAACTCTGGGCCTGGGCTCTGTCCCTGAGTTTTTTGTGCTCAAGGCTAGCACTCTAGCATGTGAGCTATAGTTCCA